AGAGAGAGAAAGAAAGAAAGAAAGAAAGAAAGAAAGAAAGAAAGAAAGAAAGAAAGAAAGAAAGAAAGAAAGAAAGAAAGAAAGATTGATTAAGCATAATGAAGTCTCTAGCGTCATCAGATTCACAAAGACATAAAGGGGGATGGTGGGTGCTGGGGCTGGGGGAGGGAGAAGGGGAGTGAGTGTTTCATGGGGACAGTTTCAGTTTGGGAAGTTGAGAAAGTTCTGGAGATGATGGTGGTAATGGTTGCACAACAATGTGAAATGCCTGTCTCTTATACACATCTAGATGTGTATAAGAGACAGCTTTAAGCGCATTCACAGTGTTGTGCAATCATCACCACCTGTCTCTTATACACATCTAGATGTGTATAAGAGACAGGACCACAGGCATGCACCACCACACCTGGCTAATTTTTTGTATTTTTAGTAGAGACGGGGTTTCGCCATGTTAACCAAGATGGTCTCAATCTCCTGACCTCGTGATCCACCCGCCTCGGCCTCCCAAAGTGCTGGGATTACAGGCGTGAGCCACTGCGCCCGGCCGCTAATTTCTGTATTTTTAGTAGAGACGGGATTTCACCATGTTGCCCAGGCTGGTCTCGAACTCCTGGCCTCAAAGTGATCCACCCACTTCGGCCTCCCAATGTGCTGGGATTACAGGCATGAGCCACTGTGCCCGGTAAATCTCAACCATTTTAAGTGCACAGTTCTGTGGTATCAAGCGCATTCACAGTGTTGTGCAATCATCACCACCATCATCTCCGGAACTTTCTCATCTTCCCAAACTGAAACTCTGTCCCCAACCCGTCCCCTCCCCAGTCCCTGGCACTCCCCATTCTACTTTTTGTCTCTATGAATCTGAGGACTCTAGGGACCTCCTAGGAGTGAAATCACACAGAATTTGTCCTTAGTGAGTTTCCTTTTAATGATATTAACTTTGCGACAATTACAAATAAAACCATGTTTAAATGGTCCCTTGGTAATTAGAGATTTAGACTTTCGGAATTTGAAAAAAAAAAAGAAAGAAAGCAAGCTTTGAGTGACATTGCTGGTGGCAGCTCTCACGGGTGGTTCTGGTTACTTGAATGCAGGGCCAACAGCTTAGAGCTGAGCTGATGACTGGACTCACCCTGGAGTTATATAAAGCATCGAAGGAGATAAATCACGTTTGCAACCCTCGGTTCAGGCGGGGATGATGTCACACACACACATATAGCATATGAGCTTAGAGCTGGGACAGCTCCCAGAGATCATCTGTCCTCCCGCCCCTTCTCCCAAAAAGGAGGCAGACGGTGACTTGCTTGGGAACGTGGCCAAAACCCTTCAGCAGGTCAGGGCCAGAGCCAAGAGCAAATGTTGAGCTCCCGGCCTCAGCCACACCTCACTCACCAGCGGCCCCCTGGCCTTCTCCTCCAGGGTCGTGGACGGAGGATATCACTAACAGAAAATATCTCAAGAAAAAGACATCAAGACACACAAGGAAATCAACACTAAAGAGAGAAATGGGCCCAGTGCAGTGGCTCATGCCTGTAATCCCAGCACTTTGGGAGGCTGAGGCAGGAGGATTGCTTGTGGTCAGGAGTTCGAGAACAGCCTGGGCAACATATCAAGATCCCCACCTCTAAAACATTATTATTATTATTATTAATTTTTTTGTTGTTGTTATTGTTGTTGAGACGAAGTCTCGCTCTGTCGCCCAGGCTGGAGTGCAGTGGCCGGATCTCAGCTCACTGCAAGCTCCGTCTCCCGGGTTTATGCCATTCTCCTGCCTCAGCCTCC